TTAAAAAGTTATAAATAAGAAATATAATTATTTAAATTTTATTTATTATAATTTTTTTTAGATTTTCCATTTTATTTTTTTAGATCAAACCATACTATAATATTCTTAAGATTGGGTGAAACATGTTTAATCTAACAAAGTGTGTAATAAAGTAAGTTTTTCTTTTACCTAATTTTATAGCATTTGCATGTGAAATAGGAGGATTTACATATAAGTTTGATGGTGCATACAAGGATCTTATTAGGTTAAGATGAATATTGATTAGTTAAGAAATATTATAATAATATTTATTTTGTTTATTATATATTTTTTATAAGCAAAATTTGACTTCTTATATACTTGAAAATTGATTGGGTTTCCCCTTGACAAAAGAAATTTAAAGGCGAAGAAAACTAATAATAAATTCTTTAATACTCTATGATAGATTATTTAAATTAAGATGATGAATTGGTCATGTTAATTATTTTATAGAGATTTATTAGTGTAATTGATTATTGTTAGTGTATCTTACATTATTATTAAATGAGTTACTTTAGAGTAATGATGTATAAAAAAAAGTGTAAAATATTAGATATAATAGTTATATTTGAATTAAGCGATAATTCATCACTCAAATAAAATGTACAATAGATATGAAAACTCCTCTTTGATGAATTTTCGAGTCAAGCAAAATAACTATCGTTCAAGCGAAAATGAATTTTAGAGATGAAATTTTCCTATTTTAAAATGTTAAAAATAATGAAATTTTGAATTCTAGGATAATTTCTTTAATATATTTGATATACATATAACTTAGGATGTTAAAATATATGTAATAAATATGAAATTAAGTGTATTAAGTGGTATTATGTATATAAAAAAAATATTTTGTTATAATGTGAGAAATACAATGAGATATTTTCATATTTGTGATGCACATGAAAGTTAACATGAAGATTTTGAATGAACCCACCTAAAAGGTATAAGAAATAGGTCTGATTAAGCTAAAAAATTTGTGACCTAAATTGAATTAGACCTATTTTAACTCGATTTATTTAGGTGATGATATACATGGACTTAGGTTAGGCTAGCCCGTAGACTTATAGGTTAACCAGTTTTATAAGATATTGATTATTTTGAAAATAAATAAAAATAATATTATTTTATTTATTTATATATATATATATTATAAATTAGTTTTATAAGAGTAAATATTAGAATAAATCTTTAATAATCACTTATTTCAATATCTAATAATTAAGATTAAATAATATTTTAAATTAATAAAATACAAAACAAAATAAATAAAGAGTAAGTTTTCAATTCTTATTTCGAGATGAATAGATTTATTATCTTATAATTTATATATTAAATTATTATATCTTAGATAAAAAATAAATTTATTAATAAAATTAAAAATTTTAAAACATATTTTTTTTATTTAAATATTTTTTAATAATTGATATTGATAAAAATATGTTAATATTAAAAAAAACAATCAGGCTAAAATTAGTCCGTTAGTCTAACATAAGATTAGATTAAACTAAAAATTTTGACCAATTTTAAAATATAAGTCAGATTATGTTATCACATTTTTTTTACTTTACTTGTAGTGTCAGATCCGATTGGGTTGTACTCGTCCGTTTTAACAGTTTCAGGGAAAATACTATATTGAAATATATATATATATATATATATATATATATATATATATGGTGTATTTAATTTGAAATTTCAGAGAATATATTATATCTTGACTGATATTAGGTTCAGACAAAAAATTTAGCTTATCACATAAAATAATGTGTTATAATTATGTATCTATGTTTATATATCCACTTAAGAAAGATAATATATATATATATATATATATATATATATATATATATATATATAAAATTCAAATTTAACCTAAGTTTTTTAACTAGAGTTAAATGTTTGTTATATATGTGTCAATGTATGTTTGTAAAATATATTTTACCTTCATTTATTTATTTATTTTACCTTGAGTTTGATTTATTTATTTATAATATGAATATTTTGAGAAACTTATATAAAAGATTTAATTTTTTTATCACTATTCACTAACTTCCCTTATCTTAATTTTTATATGATGCGTGATTAATTTAATTTATTATAACGTATTATTACACATCAACAAAAATATGATATTTTTGAAAAGTATATAAATATTTATGTTTTTGTATAATCTAATTTTATATTTGATGTGATGTTACATTGTACCTAAAATGTTGCAGCTGTAACGTATATAAATATACGATACATATTTAAATATAATTTATATTTAAAGTTCAAATATAATAATATTTGATTATATGAAAATAAATAAATATAATAATATTTTTATAATCTTTAATTATTTCAAAGATACTAGTATAACATAGCTAAATATTTAAAAATATCTTATAATTATGTATGGAAGAGATTTATACATAACACTGGTTAAGATGCATAAAATGACTTTAATATCGTATTTAAAATGAAGAAAAATCCTAAATCAATCATAAAGTGATTGGGAAGAATGAACATTGGTCAATAGAGAATTAATATGGATGGGAGTGATGATAGGAGGACGTAACATCCTGAAGAAGGTCGAAGAGTGAAAACGAAAGCTCATATCAAAGCTCCATCTATGTCTTCCGTTGCCAAATATAGAATCAAATATATACCTTTCTTTTCTCTAATTAAATAATAAAAAAAGCTGTACAAAATAGAATGAGTATAAGAATGTGCAATATAAATGGTATTTACACGTATAATATAATTTAACAGAAACCTTTCATATTATATATAGATAATAGCAAGTATCTTTGAAAGCTTTAGAAACATGTATATAAACACTTGATTCAAACATCTTAAAATTAATCAATTTTAAACGGTTGTCTTTTATAATAGCATAAAAATATAACGATATAATGATTTTGTGAACAAATATCATGTTATTTATCTTAATTATCTAAATATGATTTTATATTTTTATTGATTATTTTGTGAAATACCAATTAGTTTTTAGTTAAATTTATTACAAAATAAGATTTTTTAAAATTTATTGTTTAATCCTGATATGATCCTAGAACTAAGTAAAAAAATGTATAGTCTCACTGACCAATATTTTAAAACAGAACAGTATAGTCTAACTTAAGTTAATGAACCAAATTTACCCTGGTTGATTTTTTTTTAAATATTAAAATATTTATATAAAAATAATTTAAATAAAAATATATTTTTAAAATTTAAATTAAATTAGTTATTATTTTAAATATAATGATTTAATATATAAATTAGAAGTGAATATATCAATTAAATATTAAAATAAGAGTTTAAAATTTACTTATTATTATTATTATTTATTATTTATTAATTTATTAATCTAAAATAAACCATTAAATATTGAAATAATTAATTATTAGAGACTTATTCTTATATTTATTTTTAAAAAGTAAACTTTTTATTAAATTAATTTATAATAAATATATAATTTTTAATAAAATATTTTTTATTTTAAATTTGTTATTAATTTATAAAATAGATTCATCCATTACGAATTAGTCTAACCCATAGGTCATGACTTATAAAGATATACTTAATTCTATTTAAAACACAAATCTTTTTTAACTTAATCTATTTTAGGGTCTCAAAATTTTTTTTTTTCTGTAATAGGTATGCTTTTAATGGAGATACTAATCTTACATCTTCTAATAAAAATAAATTGTAAATTTTTTAATTTTAAATTAATAAAAAAAATTATATTAACTTTATTTACGTCGTTATTAATAATTATCAATGTAGAGATATCAAAGATTGTTTCCCAATTTTTATCATGATTTTTCATTATTATTAATGTCATTTGTTTCCATTTAAAACCGTTTTTAAATTAAAGTTGTCTAATAATATATTTTCAATTTATTTACAAAAACATTTTTTAAAATTTGATTAAAACTGTTATTTGAAAAAAAAGACAAAAATAAATAAATTCTAAGAAAATATTAAATGAGAGACTTTTTTTTCTCTTAATTTGTCTTTTATCTACTAATAGAATAGAAAAGAAAAATAAAGTGATTATAATATTTTTTTAAAACATTATATCTTTTTTATAAAAAGAATATAAGAATAAAATTTATCTTTGATTCATCTTTCCACATAATCTATCTCAAAAAATAATTTGTCTATATCGGTTATAACTTGATAAGAAAAGTTTTATATTTTCTATGTACACATATAGTCTTGATGTTGATATCATCTCTTTCTCAATAGTTTATAATAGAAAATAACTAATAACTATAAAGGTATTTAGTAAAATTAAATTTTTCAAAAATACAAAAATCCTATAAAAGAGGTTATAGTTTAAGTTCTCTTATATATAAGATATTTTGAAACGGTTGTGTACAAAACAAAAATACTCTATACATATTACTAAAAGTAAACATATACAAATAATCGAACGATGTCCGGACAAATAATAATAAATGATAAAAAGATAAATAATATTTTTTTTTAATTTAACACAAATTATGACTTGTTTTGTCAGAAAATATACATTAAAATTATGGAAGTAGAAAATTTAGTCCCCTCCAAACAAAATATAATTATTGGTTTAGATTTTATTATTGACCATAAAAGAATTATTACGACAAAAAAATTATGTTATCATTAGTAATAAAATATTATGTTTCCTATAATAAAAAAAAACTTAGATGTCTCCCACATAATTAACAAAACTTCAGATAAACATAGTCTTACTTTCATAATTAACAAAAATTTATATAAAAAAAAGTAAATGATGATTTACATATTAGCAGTAAAATATAAGTCTAAAAGGCTTGACAGTTATATTTTGGATATTGGTATCCATTAATTTTCACCTACCACCTCATATAATTTCTGTCTCCTTTCTGACTAATCAACAAGGAAAACTAGTTTTAGTTTGCATTTTATTCTGTGTGGCTTTGGCAGATTTTTTATTAAATTTCGTGGGACCAATTGTTGAAGACGCAGAGAGAATGGACATGCCAGCGTACATGACGTGCGATCCAGGGTTCATGCTCGTGACCAGTGACCTACTTCTCAATCACATGAAAGACTACGCAAATAAATAAAATTACATGTTCCTGCATTTTCATCATTTCAACTCACGTGAATTTTTTTAAAATTTTGTAATATTAAACTTTAAGTTCTTAATTAATCATATATTATTTCAATACATATTAATTAGTTTTAGGTTAAAATTTGTTTTATTTAAGACAATCTATTGTGACAGAATTATCCATTTTAAAACTTTTATTTATTATAATTTTATGTTTGAAAGATACATAAATAGATTTAAAAAGAGTGATATATATATGAATTCTGTTAAATATATTATATTATTTTATGTTTTATATATTATTAATTGGTTTTATAATTGAATCTTATCATCATGATATTATAGTAAAAAAAGTTATATTTTTTTATTAGTTATTGTCTTATATTAAAAAGATCTTTATCTGATAGGTTTAATTGGAGGTGTTGAATATTGTGTCGGACCAAAAGTCTCGTATAATTTATTTCAATTAAATTTAAATTATTAAGTTTCTTGATACCTGTGATACTCTATAAGAAAACATCGTGGGTGCACAGATTGTGAGAGCCATGGTTTATCTGGAAAGAGAGGGAACCATTTTCGTTCACTTTGCACAGCACAGTATGATCAGGGTTCAACTATTAGTAGTTTTCAAGCCAAAAGTTATGTGACATTAAGTATAGCTATATACACGCACATGAGTAATCATGCATCAAAATTTTGTTTTTTGATGATGATAAGTGAAAATAATTCTCATATAATATGCCCTCACGCGGTCTATGTCCTTCTATGTATAGTTAGATTGTCAAAATTTATTGTTCTCGTGATAAAGAAGTGATGATTATGTACCATAAGAATAATCATACATATAATCATGTAGAGATTAATTAGGTAGAATTAGAAGTTATTTATAACCACATAGCTATTTGGAAAAAGTTCCATAACTTTTCAAAAACATCACATGACATCCTTTGTTTTTATTTGTTCATGATTATTAATGTTTATCCTTTCAATTTAACACCACATGTGATCAATCTTTTACTTAACCTTTTCTCAAATTGTATAATTTAAAAATCAAATAGTTAAGTTGAATATGATTTTCTAGGTTAGCTTGGCTCTTTGAAAATAAAATTATGTCAATAAACAAGTTTAAATAACTTTTTGGTTATTAATATACGATTGATTGTTTTAGTGTTTAATATTTTTTTTCAAAATTAAATATATGATAAATTGAACATTTTGTTATAAGTCCATTTTGTTACCTGTCTAGTGCTATTACTCACATATCTGTTAAATTTAAATGTGTTATTTAATCTAAAATGTTATCAAGTCTCTTTTATTAGTTATACTAACAAGATTAATCTCTTTTATTTCAAAAAATCACATAAAGGATTGAACATAATAATAATATATAATAAAAATGTAATATTAAAAAAATGTAAAACACATTTTCACAAATTATAAAGTATACCCCATTAAAAAAAATAGATACTCTCAGTAGAAATCACCCATTCATTGGAAATTGAAACTTATTTAAGAAAAAACTCATCTAAAATTAAACTAAATTGTTTCATAAATTACTCATATTATTGTATGATATTATTTAACTAAATAAGTAAATTAATATCACACTATTTGAATTAATTTTACACATAAGGTTAAGTATTTTTACTTCAGTTTTGAGATTGAACTTCTATTAATCCACTCTTATTCAAAATTAATTTGAACACATTTAAATTTTAAAGTGAAGCTCAATAGCATTTTTTATGTTCAAATGATTTTAATATGATTCAATATCTGATTTAAAAAAAAAACACAGTTCTTCAACAATTATATGTTATACTAATCCATTTTTAATAATTAATATTCTGTGTAGCATAATATATTAAAATATATGATTTAAGTTTTATATATTTTTTTTTCATTCTAACATTTAATTATACATAATGTTCCATGACAATATAATTTTTTATCAAAATTTATCAATAATAACTTTATTATTATTATTATTATTATTATTATATTCACATTTGACAGTGCAGTGAGGAAGTTAAATCCAATCTTATTTTCTCTGCTCCTTCAGATTCTCTCTTCTTTCCCACTACAGTGATTAAGGTTGCTACTAATAATGTGTCTCTCTCAATCTCATCTCATTCTCATGTACACACCATCTCTTCTTTATTTCTTCCTCTGAATTTTATTTCTGCATCATCGCACTTTACATTTTCCGTTTCTTCTATCTCAGCTAAATCACCAAACCTCTCATCAATCTCAGAAATGCCAAGTGAACCCCCAACACCAACATTGGCCTCTGCCTCAGCTACGCACCACCTTCTTACATAACATAACACAGTCTCCTAGGATGTTTGTGTTGTTCCAATGAAACTTGGGATGGAAACAATTCAGCTTGTGAGGTTCTGACGTGTCTGAATTTGTAATGCATATGATGATGGTGGAGGTAGCGGCTTAAGAAGCAGATCCTTTCCTCGACCATGGGGAAGAAAGGAGGCAGCTGGTTCTCCTCCGTCAGAAAAGTTTTCAAATCCTCTTCTAAGGGCTCGCCGGTGCCGGAGAAGAAGGTTATACTTTCCCCCTATTCTCACAGAATATTTGCTTCTCACCATTTTTCTTATATTTTAATTTCATTCTCTTTTTCGTTTTCTTGTTTTCCATTCGTCTAAATTGGCTTTTCTGAATCAGGATTTTCCTTTTTCATTGGAGTTCAATAAGCATAACGAAACTCTCGCCTTGCCTTTTCCTTTTTTGTTTTGGAGTCATTACCGGTTCAGTAAATTCTCATTTTTCACGGTTTGAAGATTTCCAAAATCGATTTTAACGTATTCCTTTGAAGATAACGATATTCTTTTTTCGCAATCAAGCCATCATTTTTTTTTAACTTAATTAGATTGAGTAACAATGTTGTATAGAATAATTCTACTATTATCAAGTTACAAACTTTCATGTTGTTGCCTTTTATAACAATGAAAGGCAGAGCATGGATTGATTTTTTTCCTACAACAGTATTTGAAGACTAGTTTAAGGTATAAATTTTCGTATGATGAAATTGCAAGAATGATTCATTCTTCTTAGAGAGAACTTTTTCATCTAATGTTCTAATCTGGTTAACTTTGATGATGATGTGCGCATCAATTACTATAAGATTGTTCTAATTTATTAATCAGTACTTTTAAAACTTAGGTATTAATTAGGTTAGGCATTGCTTCAAATAGAGGATAAATGTGGCATTGTTAAAAGAACACTTGTTAACCTTGAAGGGATTATTTATTCTAAGTTACAAGTGAAGGACTTAATTGTGTATGTCATGTCATTAAAACCGATTCGGCTCCAAGTTATTGAATCAGTCACGAGTCATGATCACGACCTTTTACTCAATCCCCAACAAACCTAGAAGAAAGTAGAAATTGCTTAATTGCAGCATAATTAATGCTATCACTGCGTTCTACCTGACACATTGAAGGTTAATAGCTCCTTCTTATGTATAGTATAGTAAGTGGAATTCTTAGTTGTTGTTGTTGTCTTTTGTGCTTCCACATAAAAAAGATGAGCGACATGGTCCTTAGGACCATCGACCCTATACAGTGTGTAATTATGTGCATATGGTCCCCTATCATGTGAACATGTATCAAATAATTTTACTAGTATTCGTGTCACATAGTTATCATACCACCCAACCCATCACATCGTTCATCTTGATCATCATGTGCTTCCCATGTCAGATCACCATCATGTCAATTAACAAAACACATTCTGTTTGATGCCTTGTTACTCCTTGATTTTCCAAATGATTGCTAATTAGGACTTTATGGATGTTGGGATTTCCTCTTTCAGAAAGACAACAACAAGGAAGAGCAGTGGCAGCATGATGCGCCAGAAGAGGTATCTGTGGAGCATTTTCCTGCAGAGAGTTCTCCAGATATTACCAATGAAGGGAGTACCACGTCAACACCAGTGACTGAAGATAGAAGCCATGCTGTTGCCTTTGCAGCAGCAACTGCTGCCGCGGCTGAAGCGGCGGTGGCAGCTGCTCAAGCAGCCGCTAGAGTTGTGAGGTTGGCAGGATATGGACGCCAATCCAAGGAAGAAAGAGCTGCCATACTCATTCAATCATACTACAGAGGTTACCTTGTATGTCTTTCTTTGTCTTTCTCTCACAAACCATGTAATTATTTCTTGTCTCCTTTGGGTGAAGTTGCTTTTAATTGTTTAATGTCACAGCGCAGCATGTCAGTCCATTGGTTTGGTATGGACCATAGATATTCCACCTACTCCCAAAGTTTTGCAGTTATTTGTATTTATAATGTATGAATGACACTAGTAGTACCATATGATCCCCTTCCTCTACTAACATTGAAGTTCACGTTGATTTATAATTTATAAATGGTGAGCTTATAGGGTCATTAATTAAAATCAGTGTACGGAGCAGCAGAAAACTAAACAGAACACACAGTTAGATTGGGATGGGGTTATCTGCAAGTACAATGTTTATGAATTCTTATGTATATAACTTGATCGTCAGAAATTCTTGCGTGACTAGAATAAGCTCAGAATGGTATTAACTAATAACTATACGATGGTTAAGTTTAGCACATAATTATTTCGTTAATCACTGTGTAACTTTTGATTGATTGTGTCTATGCTTATGCAAATTATTTCCTTGATCATTGCACTAAAAAACGAACAACTAAATAACTTGACACTCGATTAGTTCTTTGAGATTACCCATCCATCCATGACTTGTACGCATAACTCAAGTCATCATTTATTTTTCAACTAACATTAGTATCGTTGCTTCTAGCCTGTCTTTGTCCCTTGCAGCACATTGTAATTGTGTGGTTAAGCGTGTACAATAGTATTCTTTGAATGCCATCCCATTTATGTTTATTAATCAAGACTGAGTAATTGCCTCCCAAGTAAGGTGAATTTGATTTGGTATTGGTTCGGTGTTGAATTCTGCAGGCTCGACGTGCATTGCGGGCTTTGAAGGGATTGGTGAGGCTGCAAGCGCTTGTGAGGGGTCATAATGTGAGAAAGCAAGCGCAGATGACAATGCGATGCATGCATGCATTAGTCCGAGTACAGGCAAGAGTAAGAGCTCGCAGACTCCAGTTGGCTCAAGAGAAGTTTCAGAGAAGAGTTGAGGAACAGGTCCAAAGAGAACTAGAGGAACAAGAACAACCTAAGCTGCTTTTGAGCCCCATCAAAATGTTAGACATGGATGCTTGGGACAGTAGGCACCAAAGTAGTCAACAGATCAAGGAAAATGATTTGAGGAAACATGAAGCTGCAATGAAGAGGGAGAGAGCTCTTGCTTACGCTTTCAACTGCCAGGTATTCATTCATTTTTGTCTTTCCATGCATGCACCAAAATTATGAAGCTGTATCTAAGTTTTTCGATAATTTACCATGATGTCTCTCCACAATATGATAAATCCACGAGTGCTCATTAATTCATAATCCTATGTCCTGTTTCATTGTTGGTTATTTTGTTTGCAGCAGCAGAAGCAATACATGCACATTGACCCAAATGGTGATGATATTGGAAGCTATACCAATGAGCCTGAAAGAGCCCAAATGGATTGGAACTGGTTGGAACGTTGGATGTTATCACAATCACACAACTCAAGGCACTTTGGGCCACGGGAGAACCTTCATAGGACTCTCGCTACAACTACTTCCACCACTGATGACATGTCTGAAGAAAAAACAGTTGAAATGGACATGGCTGCAACTCTGGACTCGGCCCATGCTAATATGGGCCTCATCCACCAAGAATCTTTTGACACAAGCCCAATATCCAATAGGCACCACCAGCGTCACCACAGTGCCGGTGTACCTAGCTATATGGCCCCAACCCAATCTGCAAAGGCCAAGGCTCGAAGTCAAGGACCGTTGAAGCATAGGGGTTCACCTGGGCCTCACTGGAACTCGTCCACGAGGAGAAGTTCTGCTATAGGGCTGGGCTGTGACTCATCTAGCTCCGGTGGGCCTACTGTAGCTCATGTGTTCCCGAGAAGTCCAAGCCCAAAAGTTAATGAGATTCGCCTCCAATCTAGACGGATTTCAAGTGGCAGCCCGGATAATATTTACATTGAGGATTGGGCCCTTCCAATTGGAACCAGTGGTTGGACTTGACTTTATTAATTTATTTATATTTCTAAATATCATAAGAATAGCATGTTTTGTATGGTCTGAAACTTCGGTCGTAGACATGCAATGATGCTATCCAAGGACAGTTTAATATGTCGTGTTGTTGTCGTGTCATGAACAATATCTGAGATTGTATAATCCCTCCCCCTCGTCCTCAAAAACACCCAAAAAGTGAGATTGTAATGTCCAGAAACCCTGTTTTATTTTAAGAAAATGTTGGATTTTGTCTTTTTTTTTTTTTTTTTTTTAAAGCAAATTAATATTTGCACCGGTGTTTTCCTTTTCATTGAAAAATGTACTTTTGCATTTGCTGTGTTGGTGCTTCATAAGGCCATGGGATTAACCATCACAGCGTGAACCACAACCAAAATAGTTGTCTGGTAAAATCTAGAACGACATTTACAATTTTCAAAAAATAAAACAATTTCACTTTTGTTTCTCACCTTATTTTTCCATACACCGCTTGTGCATATATATTTTTTTATCTTGCATCGGGATATAAAGCTTGTGTTTTGTCAGAAAAGTTATTAAATAAATGAATGGATGAGATATATCACATTGAATTAGAAGTAATTAATATCATAAATAAGATTCGATATTAAGTAGTAATAATAAATATTCACATTCTTATTGATTGAACAAGAAAAACTATACAGCTATGAAAAAATGTAAATTATTACAATGATCACCTTCATTATAAATATTTAAAAACTTAGAATTAAACTTCTTAAAATGGCACAAGACCCCATGATGATAAAATATTCACATTTAATTGAAACCAATTCAATAATATAAACATTACACATTCTAACTTCTTACTCTTCTCACATCTAACAGAGTTAGAGATGAAAGAGTCAGAAAAACAAATTTTAAAAATAACTATTAAAATGAAAACTAGTTAAAACATACGTATAGCTAAATCTGATTAAATATGTCCAAAAAGAGAAAAGAAAAGGGGAAAATATCTTTGATCGTTATGGGTTTTGGCGCTTTTTCTGGATCTTACGCTACGATATCTCTTTCCAAATCTAAGTTGCACGTCATGTGAAGTGCGTAGTGTGCAGAACCTCTTTTTGTTGTCTTCTCAGCCACTTTCCTTTTTGGTTCACGATCCCTTCCCTCCTGCGTCAGACTTCTCTTCTCATGGACTCTCTGCAACTCCATCCTCTTCTACTTCTGCATCCACGTGCATCATCACCATCAATAAGGCAACTGCGTTTCCCTTCTCCGTTAATACTAAACTTTAGAAATGTCAACTTGCGATCGTTTTCTGCTCACGCTGGTGACGCTGCTTCACACGACGGGCCCTTCGCTTTCGAAGAAAAAATTATCTCGCACCCCAAAGACGATAGGGCTCTCGTGCTGGCCAGAGAAACCGACGATTTTGGCTATCTCGTTGGCTTTCGCTTGATTCCCGAGTCTGGTTTGATACCTTTCTTTCTTTCATTACTTTTTCATTCCATCTTAAAAAAAGTACTATTTTTACTCGTATTTTCATTCTCATGCACGTGGAAATCTCTCTGGGGTTGTTCTAATTCCGTCAAGTTAGTTAAATTTCCCTGCTTTCTTATTGGATTGAAAATACGGTGTGTTAATGTTATGTTACGATGATAATTGAAGAATAGTGTCGCATCCATCAAGTTTCATTTAGAGGTTGTTATTTTTTGGTCTCAAAGAGTTGTTGAAAGTGTCACACCACAGGTCTTGAAGAGTTTATGAGTGTGCCACACGCAATAGCAAGTAGCGGTGAGGTTGAAAAACCTGGGATTGCGGTTACAGATGAAGCGGAAGCTAAGACTAGAGTGTCCCACAACATTTGTTTTGTGACTGCTGAAGCTGCGCCATATTCCAAGACCGGTGGTCTCGCTGATGTTTGTGGCTCTTTGCCAATAGCTCTGGCGGCTCGCGGGCACCGTGTGATGGTTGTCACGCCAAGATACATTCATGGTACTGCTGAGGATGATAAGTTTGCTGGGGCAGTTGATCTGGACCGATGCACCAAAGTGATGTGCTTTGGAGGTGCTCAAGAAGTTGGCTTTTTCCATGAGTTTAGGGAAGGGGTTGATTGGGTATGAAGTTTAGAATTTTTGGCTTTTGTTTCTATTGAGTTGTTCAAACCATTTGATTTCTTACATCATAGGATCTACTTTGTTTCTTAGTGGATGATACTTGGTGCTGTTACCTTGTTGTTTCAGGTATTTGTGGACCACCCCTCGTTTCATAGACCAGGGAATCCGTATGGAGACAAGTTTGGTACTTTTGGGGATAATCAGGTGTAGTATTGTTGATTGTAGCTTTGATGCTATATTAATATTATACATTCATGAATAATGATAAACTTCTTTCTCATTTGGTTTTACAGTTTCGGTTCACTTTACTTTCCCATGCAGCATGTGAAGCACCATTGGTGCTTTCATTGGGGGGGTTCACATACGGAGAAAAATGTTTATTCCTTGCTAATGATTGGCATGCCAGCCTAGTTCCAGTGTATGCATACCTATCTTTATACACCCTTTTTCCAATCTCTCCCCCCTCCATTTTCTTTCGCAAATGAAGAAATACAATGTGTCTTTTCCCAAGCATATTATTTCTGTCAAAGTTTTTCTTCATTAAAATAAAAGAGCAGATACACTTGCCTTATTAAAGACTATCTTTCTTCCAATGGCTCCCCTAAAGTCATACCTTCAAGAGATTAAGATGTGTCATACTTTAATCCATTCTGTTTTAATTTAAACAAAAAACGATTAAAGGGGTGTTTAAAACTTCATTCAGTCTCATAGAAACTAAAAGCAGTAACTTGAGAAGGTTTGTTCATAGTTGCTCATAGTCACTAAGAACCTTGTTTATATTAAAATATAGCTTATTTTGTCACTCATGGGGTAAAATTATGATTTTTAAACCTAGGGGACTGGGCAATGTAGTTTAAGCATCTTATTGGAGGTGAGTGTAATGTGTCCATTTATTTATAATTAGACTTCATTATGGCATATGGGTTTCACATTTTAAATTTTCCTTTGAAGCTTGTTGTGATTTTTCTAAGATGATATTATTGCCTTAATGAGGATGAGAGTCTTGATTGTGGTGCAGACTTTTGGCAGCCAAGTATCGTCCACATGGAGTATATAAGGATGCACGCAGTATATTAGTGATACATAATATAGCACATCAGGTAAGTTGTTTCATTTTATTTTATTGGAGATATTACTAATAGTAACACAATAACATCATGCTTTAATCTCTCTGTTTCTTGAGATGACATTTCAAGCATCAGCAGCAAAACAAGGGTCTCCATAAGTTCTATTTTATACTTTCGACCCAGATGCCCTCAGCTTGGCTTATTAGTGATCATTAAGTCACATTCTAGAAATTAGACAGATAGATCCAGAAAGGCCTATAATAAAAAGTTCATTGTTAAAAACTGAAATTATTACTTTTACCTTGGCGTGAGAACTTAGTTAATATGTAAAATACCAGTGTGTTGGTTGTTGTCACATTGAAATGAATGATTCGAACATGACTGATTGTGGCTGTGGATGCATATCAAAGATGCTAATCTTTGTAGTGAACCGTCTTGGAAAATAATGTAGTCTTTGATCTGTAATGCTACAAATAAGGTCCATAGTTCTTTGCCAAATATAATGTATATTGATATTAATTCAAGAAGTTTGTAACATAATGTTTAGTCATTTAATATCAGCAAAGAAGCTGATGAAATTATATGTTATGTTAGGGAGTGGAACCTGCAATTACATAATGTTCAGTCATTTAATATCATCAAAGAAGCTGATGAAATTATATGTTAGGGAGTGGAACCTGCAATCACATATGCTAATTTGGGGCTACCTCCAGAATGGTATGGAGCATTAGGATGGGTGTTCCCAACGTGGGCAAGGACGCATGCTCTTGATACAGGTGAAGCTGTCAACTTTCTAAAAGGTGCCATTGTTACAGCTGACCGTATTGTGACAGTAAGCAAGGTCCTAATACTGCAAACTACATATTCTGCATCTTCTATTTTATCGTGTCAAATATTGTGTTTTTCTTTATCAACCAGAAGTTAAAAACCTTACACCACTATGATATCGAAACAAGTTAGCAATATTGCAGAAAACAAGTGCCTTGTATTTACTATGTGATCATATGCAATGCATAAACATTTGCCTCCCTTTTCCAGGGCTATTCCTGGGAGATAACGACTAGTGAAGGTGGATATGGTCTACATGAATTATTAAATAGTCGAAAAAGTATTCTCAATGGTATGTTTTTTTTTTTTTTTTTTTTTCTTATTGCATAAATTTTGAAGCTCATCCAATGAAAGGTTTATTTATGACTGAAATTTTAGAGTTGGTAACATGTGGTTCATACTCCTAAAGTAACATGAATTCTTAGAGAAAGCTATCCCGAGCTTGAGCCAAATAATTATCTTCACTGCAAATTTGTCTCTCCTATGTTTCAGCTGTTATATTTTATACATTTAACCTTGATGTTATTTATTGGACGTTGATAGTTTGACAATAAAAGTAGCTATATTTCAATGTCTTACAAAAACTAATCAACTGGGTGATTGACAAATTTTGCTTTTCTTGTTAAACAGAAACCTCAATTTAACAAGCAATGCATCTCTTTTAGTATTTTTTTTCCTCTGTTGTTAATCAGATCCTGCTTGAAACCTCAAAGCAGTATTTCATGTTTACTGGAGGAAAATAACTGTTGAATTGATTAGAAGACTTTCATATCTGCATATCTATCTGCAATAATTTTTTTCATAGAAAATGCACAGAACTCTGTACAACTTTCAATTTCTGCAATATCACACCTCAGTTTTGATCAATTGCTTTTTGTAGAGTGACCAATTTTAATAGATATTGGTTTCTATATACACACCAAAATTAATGTGTGCTTTGATCATTGGTGTTACGATCATTCAAGCATAACATCATGTTTATTGTTTGGATGGAGAGAGAAAATGGAGAAAAGAATGAAAAGTTATGAAATTTCAAAAATTCTACAGTTTAATTGAAGAAAAGATGGAAAAAAGTTTAGGACGAGCTAAAACTCGAGAAGCAATTTTAAAAAATTTTCTATCGTCCTTTATTTTCATCCTCTCATCCAAACATAGGGTAAGTGTGACATTGGTGACAAATCATTAACATAAAATAGACCAACTGAGGAGAAGGGGCCTATCTACCAAAGGGGGAAAAGGGCAACTCGTAAGGAGAGTTGAATTCGTTTTCCGTATTGCTTTTCCATCAACCTGTATTGTTCAGAAACTTCTTGCAATTCAATTAGGTAATGCATTTGAAGAAAATGCTAATGTTACTTTCGACTTGTCATTGTTGAGTTTTCCTTCATTTGTTTGACAATCTTTTGTCTTGATTTGTGCCATAGAATCTGTTGTAATGATACTGGCCTGTATTTCGAATAGGAATTTGTGTAATCTCCCTCTACTTTATTGTCAGAATATTATCCAAATTTGATTGCACAGATTCATTAATTCGGTAACAAAGGAATCGTTATTTTCCTAAACACCACAAAGTCCAGAAGCTTCTTTCGTCATATTTTTATATTTCTGGTTATGTTTCCTAATGCTTTCAGCTGTACAAGTAGTTGTGGGTCAATGTATGTGAATTTGAAAGCAAAACAAAACTATATTGTCAATTCCTTACTGAATGATTTACCTTGATGCTCAAACTCATAACAATTTTATTATTGACTAGGGATCACAAATGGAATTGATGTCACTGAATGGGACCCGGCTTGTGATAAACATATTGCTTTCAACTACTCTGTTGATGACCTTTCCGGGAAGGTTTTACATTTTCCCTTTTGTCACCCTTCCTTTGTATCTTGTTAGCTGAATTTGTCTTATCGTAATTTTTTGTAATGTACAGCCCAAATGCAAGATTGCTTTGCAGAATGAATTGGGTCTTCCAGTGAGGCCTGATTGTCCATTGGTAAGTTTGTTATCTGCCATGCAAAATTCTTGCTCACTGTTTTTGGTATTGACTGTTTGTTGAAACATGTAGATTGGGTTCATTGGAAGACTGGACTACCAGAAAGGTATTGACTTGATCCGCTTGGCAATGCCAGAGCTCATGGAAGCTGATGTTCAGTTTGTAAGTTATGTTGTATATCTTATCTGTTCTATAAACCCATGTTGTGGAAAATAATTAAATCCATGGAGTGGTGGTATCTAAATGTAGGTTGTTTACTTGGAGAGTATAAAATATATCTTGAGACATTGCAAACTATACCAACTAAAATATTAAACATCTTGATACTTAGCGTAAAAAAATAGGCGATTGAACATTTTTCAAATGCAACCTACTTGTTTCAATAATTTCATTTGAGAGTAGTTGAGGTCCCTTGAATTCTAATTGATAGATGTAATTATAACTTGTGAGTTTTGAGGGATGTGTTGTATGTATGCTTGTGACCACCTATAAGGTTGACAGTCTCTAGTTATTTTTCGCAGGTAATGCTTGGTTCAGGAAACCCTATTTATGAAGACTGGATGAGAGCAACAGAGTCAGCTTATAGAGATAAATTTCGGGGTTGGGTGGGATTCAATGTTCCAATATCTCATAAAATAACTGCGGGGTAATCCAAAAATTTATGAATCCTTTATAGAAAAATTTAAGGTCATTAGAAATTTCCATACTGTATCTACATCAATTATGCTTCTTACTGTACTCCTGGTTGTCAGCTGTGATATATTGTTAATGCCATCTGCATTCGAGCCCTGTGGACTTAACCAGTTGTATGCAATGAGATATGGAACTATACCCGTGGTTCATGAAACCGGGGGCCTAAGAGTAAGTCAAGAAAATATAAGAAATTGACTAGTTCAACATGATTTCTTTGCCTTAATGCCTTTCTCTTTATTCAGGATACTGTTCATAATTTCAATCCATTCACTGAAGAGAGCAAAGATGAAAGCACAGGGTATGTTGTCCACTAGCTTTGATTTTTTATTCTTCAAATATCCATTGCCATATTTCTTAATAAACCTAACATTTCTTTGGTCCAAGTGAGCCAGTTATATCATATTTAAAAAAATAGAAGGTGCATAATAAGCATGGCTCTAATTTAAATTTCTTGCTGTCAAGCAAGGCAGTTAGAGATTTGCTATTGCTTATTACTAAGTATAATACAGTGATTAGAAATAATTTAAATTTGTTAAAGTAATGTAAGTCTAATGCAGTGATCAGATAAACTTTTATAAGTCTGACAAGCCTGGATAAAATGTGATGGCATGTAACTCTTCCAATTACAAATTTACCTTGCTGTAAGAACTGGTTAGGTGGTCACAACTGTGAACTGGAATTGTTATAGGAAAAAAATATATCTAATAAGCAAAAAGCAGGGCCGTTTATTCAAACTTAGTTTTCAACAAGTATAAACTAATAGTTAGCTTTTAAAATATCTACTGATTTGATTCCTGCTATTTTTTTATATGTGACACTGTCAGAGGTAACTTTAACAATCCCAGGACTCAACTAATACAAAATGAATAAGCTCATTATATTTTGTTTGACATTATTTGAACTTCACTTACAGGTGGACGTTTTCGCCACTAACAAAGGAGAGCATGTTAGTGGTAAGCTTGATTTCTTGTCCATTCAAATTCATTGTTTTTATATTATGCATACTTTGATAGCATGTTAATATTTTAATCTAGATGATTCTATGTGTTGTCTCTTGCAAAACAGAAACTGGAGTTGTCTTTTGTCTTGTTGATTATTAAAAAATTGTGTTAAGAAGAGAGGACGAGATACATGAGATGAATTCTGTGTGTTTGACTTAAGCAGCAAAGCATATATTTATATTAGGAGTCATTAATACAAGGGTAATCACACATAATTACAAGAATATACATTTACTGTAATTAACATAAATACATAAATATAGTTCCATTGTCTTCCTTTTCCTGCTGTGTTTGGGGAAGGGGCCTAATATATATTATTTCTATCTAAACCCATATATCCTTGTCTGAGTTTATTGAGGTGCTACCCTCGGTCTACTGACAAATGGCATGCTTGGTCTAGTTTACTATATAGCTGATAAAATGGTTCTTGGTAGGGATCATTAATCTATAATAGGCATTGCTATCATTAGATTGGCTTTCTGAATCTTGAGTCGGCCTCTAGATGTTAAAAATAGACATATCAAGTTACTAAAGCATCAAGAATCTGGACCAATCTCATCCAACCGTCCATACAGTCTAGTGTGAACAAGTTGTGGAACTATTTGCTAACTTTTCTCATTTTGTGATGTTCTGACAACATTGTTTCTCTTCTTTTGTCACCATGATGTTAACTTTTTTACTATTTTGACAGGCTCTAAGATATGCCATTCAAACATATAATGAACACAAGCCTTCTTGGGAGGGATTGATGATAAGGGGTATGACAAAAGATTATACATGGGTAAATGCTGCTACTCAATACGAGCAAATCATTGAGTGGGCATTCATCGACCCTCCCTACTGCTGAAAGCTGACATGAAGTTTGCATAAATGGTCCACGCAAGATTTTCTTTCAATACCAGGCTACTTAGGACGATTATCATGCTTATAGATTAATCTTACTGATACAGAAGGAATACCATAAATTTTTTTAGGAAGAATGATGATATGATAGGGTAAATAAACTCAACTAGAGGCAGTTCTGGAGGAATTTTTTTACAGTGATTGAAACTCCAATTTGTAACCATGCCAATGCTTAATGCTGTTAGAATTTTTTTTACCTTCTTGCTTTTGTCCTGGAAAAGGGTTCGAGAACTGGTCATGTGACACATTGGAATTTATACCATTCGAGAATGTGCATTGATTAGCATTGGTTAAAAGTGAAAAAATTAAGAGAGTTGTGCTATTGCTAGTGACCGACATGATTTGTAAGATGCGTCAATCTTTGTTTTGTGCATGCATCTATTTGGTAACCAGAAACTGACCCACTTTTGCGTTAGAATTGTTTAGGCAACTCCCTGGTGTCCTGCAACATAGTCATTTTTGGAATACTTCTGACTAATTCGTTTGGCAAATAATTCATATGTATTTGGATCCAAAGGGAAAAAAACACCATAAGTTCGGTTTGAACTTGATACCATGTTGAAGTTAAAACTTTGAGATAGATTTGCAAGTCCTCTCATCATGGATGAACTATTTGGCTCATGCTTTTTTATTCAATATGAAACCTTTTATTTTTACTTATATTTCAACCTATATAAAGATATTCAATGAATATGACTCCATTGACAACATGTATTAAGCCTGTGGAGGAAGATGTCATTATGCTAAAACACATTGTTGAAAAAGTGTACAGAATTTTAAGCATGTGTAAGTATTAACTCGAATATTAATCATATAACTAATTAGCATTTCGATGGATTAAAAACTACTCTAACTTACGTTAATAATAATAATAACTAAGAATGCTATATCCAGCTACTCACACAGCTTGAAATTCAGATAATATATTTTATAATTAATTGTTAAATGTTTTATTAAATACTTTGTGACTGTATTTAAATGAAATTTGTTGGAATATAAATTGGTTTTCAAAATTTGGTGTATAAGCTATGTTCTGAGGATGAAAAAGGAATGCATGATAATTTGAAAAGATGATAATTTTAGAAAAGCGATTATGTTCAATCAATGAATGGGGGTGGCAAAATCTGGATCGTTCATTTTGTTGTTTGATAAATTTATATATAAAACAGAGAGATGAGAAAAAAGAAAGCATAAAAAAGGGAAAGAAATTAAGAGAGGAGAGGAGAGGACAAGTTGGTAATTTAGAGGTTAGGAGAAGGACAGTTCGGTTTGCGGTGTGGTTGGGCGCCGTGCGCAGCCAATTCCATCGCATCGCCACGCCTGGCCTCGCCACCCTTTCATTTTCATCAATCACTGTTCCTCATTTTTAGCAACCTCCATGCTCAAACCAAAACCCTAATCTAGCAATCAATTCTCATTCATATTCATTCCATTTCAATGCTATAGAAGAAAGAAAAGGAAAAGCTCTTGATTCAATTAGAAAAACAGGTTCAGAAGAATTGTCATGATTTCGAATCCGGAATTGATCCACTACGCCTGCATTGCTCGATCGGACACCATCTTGGCCCAGCACCAGAGCGAGAAGGAGCCGAACATGGAGGCCCTGGCGGCCCAATGCGTGGCCCAAACCCCGCCCAATCACTCCCTCTTCTCCCACACCGTCAACAGCCGTACCTACACCTTCCTCATCGACCCTCCCTTTGTTTTCTTCGCCATCTCCCACCACACCCTCCTCAAATCCCAAACCCTCCCCTTCCTCCACCGCATCCGATCCTCCTTCCGTAAAACCCTACCCTCCTCCTCCGACAACGTCCACCACGACTTCACCCCTCTCTCGTTTCAGCCCCAATTTCATTCCATCTTCAACGACGCCCTCAGCTTTGATTCCAAAGACCGTAGCCTCAGATCGCAACCCCCCCTCAGCTCTCCCCCTCAGGGCCTCAAGAAGAAGAAGAGACCCAGCGATGCACCCGCCACGCTCGACGTCTCCGACGACGCCGTTTCCCTCTCCCCTCTCAAGCCCCAGCCCCTGCCCCACGACCGCCATGCCAAGGCCAAACACGTGTGGAAAAAACACGTCTGGGTCCTCCTCCTCCTTGATTTGTTCGTCTGCGCCGTCCTTTTCGTCATCTGGTTGTGGGTCTGCAGCGGCTTCAAGTGTATGACCAATTGATCCCACTTTTCATCTCTCAAAAAAAAAAAATTTAAATTACAAAAGGTTCTATTTCTTGTTTTGCTTCGTTTTATTTTTTTTGTTCCCTTCTCTCAGGGATTTTTAGCTTCTTCTTTTTATATTTCTTTTTATTCACACTTGACAAAGTTGCAGACTGCAGGGCATTAGCATGCATGCATACCTGTTATGTATATGTATGTAACTGGGGGTTCTGTTTGTATCTTTCCCTTTTTTGTTTCCACTTTCCATTGGGAATTTCCTTCTTTTTCTTAATGGGAATTGCATATCAATTATGAAGATCATCTTAACTCATCCGGCTATGTTCAATTTTGCAAAATCACATATTCCAGGTGTTGGCTATCATATACTTTTCCTCTTACTTAATTTTGCTGCTACTTTTGCCTCATTTATGATGTTGCTGCGTGTCTCATCGGATTATTTAGTGATTTTGTTATTCCGTTCTGAATTATGATAGATATTATTATTATTATTATTATTATTATTATTATTATTATTATATATGAACGATAGAAATCTGTTTTAGAAATTGCAGAAGAGGGTGCAAGGAGTTTTTGAATCTGTTTTCATTTTTAATCAAATGAAAATCTCAGGTATCCCCACCATTTTAGGAATCTATCATTATCCCAGTTGTCAGAAGGCTAATTATTGTGCAAGATCAGTTCTGCAATTTCTAAAAAGGTTATCAGTTAAAGTTGGTATTTATAACTAGTACAAATTGTAAAAATCTTGAGGGTTAAACTGGTGTTGCGATACTTAGCTTTCATGCCACATTGTCAGATACAGCACCGATAGAGAAATCTTTCTGGTATAAAAACTGCAAGTTTGAGCTTTCCATCGACCAACCCAAATACAATGAGAAAAATTTTAGGTATGCTGTCTTTTTGGGGTCGGTGTGGAGGGACTACGGAATTTGTGTGCTGGCACATTGATGTGGCCAACTATGCACATCTTTTAGGCAATGTTTTCCATTGATTCATGATCCACAAACGGGTTCAGTTTAAGGGTACCATCACATGGGCATCCAACACGTTGCAAGCTTACCGTCTAAAGACAAGACAGGATGAATGCGTGGTTAAATTACTAATTTGATAACAAACTCTTGGAGAAACAAAAACCCTCAATTATTGCGGTAAGTTGACACACTGCCTTTAGATCTAACGAATATTAAATATTACTAGATCAGGCATAACGTAACAGTTTAAAATATCTTGATTCACATTTCCAATAATATATATATATATAAATTACTTTATCCATTCTTTATTGATGGCAAAACGTGTTTTGTTTTTGGCTTATCCCGTTAATGGTGAGATTAGTTGGTTAGTTATAAGTTTTGATTCGGGGAACTGGTTTGTCATATTTTTTATTTTATTTTATTATTTTTAAATTAAATTTTTTAATAAAATTATTATTATTTATAATTTTATATATATATATTTAAGTTAATAATATAAATTAATATATTATTTTAATCAATTATATTTTATAACAATTAAATTAATATTAAATTTATATAATAATAAATATATGTATGTAACACTAAAATTTTATTATATTTTTATTTTTATATATAAAAAATATAGAAGAATGAGTAAGAAAGAGATGATGAGTAAGAACAACGAGAAATTTGTGCTTAAAAAAGAAAAGTGTTTTCCATTAAAAAAGAAAAATATTGAGAAAAGAAAGTATTAAGTAATTATAAATTTTTTTGAATTCTCTTAATAATAAAATATTGAGACTTTATAAATTTTCTTTATTAGATACTAAGATTTTTTAAATTCTTTTTTCATAATTATTTATATTATATATTATTTTTTTGATTATTTGTATTGTATTACAATAAAAAAAATTTATTAATAAAACGAATGATAGGTTTAGTGGATTAAAATAATTCATGAATTGAAATTAATAATTAATTTCATTATAGTATGATGGACATGTGTCATATTTGATGGGAATGTGTCATATGGATTTCTTAATTTTTCTCTTTTTTTTTCTCTTATCTCTCGTCTCTCTCCCCTTCTATATTTCTTTCGTGATTCTCTTTTTCCTTATTCCCTTATCTTTTCTCTTAATTAACAATGATATAAAATTTTGTATTTTTTAAATTATTAAAAAAATATTTAATGTTTATTTTATAGAGCTTAATATTACAATTTCAAATTATATATATACATATATATAATTCTGCACCTAGTAAGATTTAAAATACCTTGTACAACCTTATAATTTGAATTTTTAGAAATTTAAATTGATTTATCCAATAAAAAAACCGAGATAATTTAGCCAAAAATTGATGTATCCAATAAAAAGAATAGTTTAACATTCACTAACGATGTGGATGAGATTGAATTCAACTATGTAGGAAAAAAAAATATTTTATTGATAAGAAGCATGCTAAATATATTTTCAGCATCTCCGTTTGTAACAATCTACGTCTTCAAACTTAGAAAACAGAATATGGTTTACTTGTTTTACCTTCCTATTATCATTAGCGTTACTGTATTGAGAGAAAAAATCACATGCAACTGAGTTTGGTGTTTTTTGAGCCTTTTGTTTGTTGATAGACATAGGTTGGAGAAGAAATGATTGTGTTTGTTTGGAGAATATTAGTGATGAGGGATAGGTTTATTAGTTATTTCTATTATATATATTTTTATTTGTACTCTATTTTTTAACCATTTTATTTCTTATCTATATTTTCGTTTTCTCCAAAATAGATCCATGGTGTAATTACTTTTATTCTTTCTAATTTAAATGGAATTTACTATGTACGTTAACAATTTACAACTTGGATGATTTAAAATATATTCAAAATTCAAAGCATAGTTTCTAACACATTTTTTTTCTTTCTAATCAAGGTATAACCTGAAAATGTAATTCTTTTAAATAATAAATAAATAAATGTTAGAAATGCTCAAATTAAAATGCACAAAAACAAATTGAATATTATGGGCCGTGGGAAAAAAGGCAGCAAAACTAATAATTGTGTTCCTTTATTCAACCACAATATTAAAGCAATAATGAAAAGATAGGAAGAAAAATACGTGTTTTCATCAAAAGAAACAAATAATGTTACATTTCTGAAGTTACGTTTCCTTACACTAAAGGAGACATAAAGAAAAACTTCTTTACTCGTTTTTTATGATTCTTTAAACTTACATTGAATAAATACCATAAATCTTCCTAATACAAGACTTCAATAATATATTCACAGTTTGAGTTCGAGTTATGGAAAATGAATATACAATTACAAAATAATTATATCAAAAGTGATTAACAATTACTTTTAGATATTAATTTTGCATAAAATTAGTGATATTCCACTGATAATATCATAAAAAAAAACATACCAACAACTTTTTCAAAACTTCATGTCGAAGAAAATTTTATTAATATAGTGTTTTGTTTAAAATTATTATTATAGTAGGTGTAATATGATTTATTTTGTCTTTTGAGTGCGCATGAACTTACAAATACAGAAAGGATCAATTATTCAAGATTTTTAATAACATATTACCATTATATGAAATTCTGTAAATTAATTAAAAAACATTAATAAGATTTTAAGATAATTATGATACAATTTACTAAGTTTATAATTGAATAACAATAACAATCTAAATTTATTTTACACTATCACAGAAAAATTATCTTTTTAAATATTTCATTATATTTAATACTAAATAATATATTTTTTATTAAATAATTAGTTATAATATACGTTCATGTTGTAAAAAATACAAATGTTTATTTAATTTGTGTTAAAAATTACTAAAAGCGTATTAAAAAAAGGCAGGACTAAAATACATAATTAAAAGTTATCTATTGTAACATAACTATAATTTCTGTATTACTAGTAAATATTAATATTTTATTGTTTTATAAATTTCATTGATTTTTTTTTATGGTTATTCAACTGACGTTTTAAGTTGTACCTTACATATAATGTTTATTTTTGTTAGATTAAATTGATAATTAAATATGATATTCTTCCTTATGATCAAACATATATATATAATCTCATACTGAAATCATGTTATAAATTAAATGCGAAAGCGTACCTGAATTGACCATAATGACTATATCCTTTGTAGAGCACTTTTGATTTGATCTTATGGTCTTCCACCTGAAGAACACCTGTATTTCCCTATGAATTTTCTCTCTTGATGGGGATAGAAAGAAAAAAACGAGACTGTAACTACGTTCTGTCTGTGTGCTATCAGAAGGGGACCATGACCCTTTATATAATCAAAATTAGGTTAATTACTTAAGTTTTAGTATTTTCAATTTGGCCCCTCATCAAATTAGAAATTACTCTATGGTCTCTACACAATCATATTTTCATGACATATGCCTTTAGCCAAAACTTTAATTTATTCAGATCACTTTATTATTTGGCTTAATAAATAATGACCCTAACACATTTAAATATGTATCATATATATACATGACCCAAAATTTGTCAACAATCTCCCACTGGTCACAAATACATATGTCTTTACAACCTTACAAATGTGTTAGACTTTATGAGCTCAAAATTGTCATTATATTCCTTTAACATATTCCAAAAGTCCTGTTAATTAATCATATTAGGATATAGAATTAAACCAGCTTTTCATTGCATCATCGCAACTAAAACCAACAAGATTACTCATCCTGACATAACCAAATGACATGGATTCATCATGAAATGTGTAGCATGAAAAATTACGTGAAGGTGATCTGTACACGTCTATTTTCAACTGGTCCAAACTTTAACTTATCGAGATCGATACAATAACCTTAATGTACAAAGTGTAATGAATGAACAAGAAAACCGCATATCTATAGATAACCAAATATGTCCAAAAAACAATGTATACATATATAAAATTAAACATAGAACATAAAATATATGAAAATGACTAACTCCCACTAAACCACAAATTCCTCAAATTGTAAAACATCCATGTGAGCAACATGCTCATGAAAGACCTTGAACGGAAGTCCTTTAGTTAGAGGATATGCTATCATGGAGTTTGTCCTTAAGTGTTCTATGGAAATCTGTCCACTTTGTACTTTTTCCTTAACAATACAGCTGATTTATTGTCACAATATAACTTAAGTGGTCTTTCAATGCCTTTCACAATTTGCAGCCCTGTGACAAAAATTTCTCAGCCATATTCCATGATTTGATGTCTCATAGCATGCTACAAATTCTTGACATCCTGTAAAATATGAGTCAGAAAATCCAGCGATCTCTAACTGGTCTGACCTCCTGTATGTGAGCATATAATATTTTGTTCTCTTTAAATATCTTATGACCCTTTTTGCTGCTTTCCAATGGTCTATTCCTGAATTGCTTAAATATCTGCCTAGAACCCCAACTATGTATGTTATGTCTGAACGCGTACATATTTGGGAATACATCAAACTCCCGATAGCTAAAGCATGGAGAATCTGTTGCATTTCCTCAATTTCAAAATTCCTCTTTGGGCACTAATTTAGACTAAACTTGTCTCCCTTAGTAACTGGAGTATCCCCGGCTCATGACGTACAGGTTCTTGAGGATCTTGAGTTTGGTCTTGACGAACAATCAAATCATCTTGAATATGGGGTTTGTCATCAATGTCTTGTGGAGGTTCCGAACTTACTTTATCAAAAGTAACTGTTTGACTCGGTTTTGAATTTATTGTCGATTCTTCCTTCAATACAAAATTCTTAATCTTATTCTTCCCCCCAAACTCAATATCCTCAAAGAACATAACAATTCTCATCTCAAAAAATGTCTTTAATGTGGGATCATAAAATTTATATCCCCTGGCTCTCTCAGAATAACCAATGAAGTAACTACTTACTGTTCGGGAGTCCAATTTTAGTTTAATACCACGAGATTCTGTATTAAGAGTTGCATTATAAGTGACCACAATATCAAGTAAATATAGATTATCATTAGCCAAAAAATGAACCAGTTATAACAATATCTGAATTAAAAGACAAACTGAACTTATTGTTTCTAAATGAACACAAATAACCTAATTTGTCCAAATAAGAAACTGAAACCAAATTCCGTCTAAAAGACGGCACGACAAAAAATGTCTTTTAAATCTAAAATAAAAAACCAGTACATAATAATAATCTAAAATGTTCAATAGTCTCCATCTCCACCAATTTGCCATTTTCAACGTATATTCATCTTTCAGAATTAGTTGACTTCCGGTAGTTTAGGCAACCCTTTCTTTTCATGTCAAACATGATATTTAGCACATTGCTTCTTTACGTGTCCAGTCTTATTGCAAAAGAAACATTTATTTTCTTGAGTTTGTTTCTTTTGTTCTAGACCTTTAGCAGCTTCCTTCTGGACCTTTAGCAGCTTCCTTCTTGGGATCCTCCGATCTCTTTCTTTTGCCTTTAGCCTTAAAGGTGCTTGCAAAATGAGCACTTTCTGTCTTGTCTTGCTTTAACCTTTCTTCTTCTTGTACACAATGTGAAATGAGTTCATTAAGAGACCATTTATCCTTCTGACAGTTGTAAGATACCTTAAACTGATTAAACGTTGCGAGAAGAGAAATCAATATCAAATGAATGAGCAAGTCTTCTGAGAGTTCAAGCTTTAGTGCCTTGAGTTTAAAAACAATATTAGACATGCTCATAATATACTCCCTGATATTTCCTTTGCCCTGATATTTCATGGAGATCAAGTTCTGAAGAAGAGTGCTTGCCTCCGCCTTATCACTTTTTGCAAAGCGCTGCTCAATTTCAGCAAGGAACTCTTTGGCACTTGTGATGTTTTCAGAAACAGTGTCCCTAAACACCTCCGGGATGCCGCACTTAATGATCATTAGACTCATGCGATTTGAGCGATCCCACTTCTCATAATCTCTTTTCTGTTCAGAGGTACTTGAATCCGTAGGAACAAGGGGTTGCTCAGTCTTTAACGCAAGATCCATATCCATGCAGCCAAGAATAATATCAATGTTCTCTTTCCAGTCCTTAAAATTTGTTCCATTGAGGACCGGAACAGAATTTATATTGGCAGATACAGAAGCAATTGTAGCTGAATTAAGAACAAAAGAAATAAATTAATTATGCTCAATTATAAAATTAAATAATTATAAATAAAATATATATTCAAATAATGGTTTAACTCATCTCAAGACACCCAATGCACCATCAATATCAAGTCTTTGGACAGTAATATTAACTGCCAGAGGTATCTTGTTGTAATAATCAAACATTGACAATAAAACACGTCTAACAACAAATCAGTCTTTGGATTGATTTATCATTGACAAAGCAAATCCTTATAATTATCACATGTTTATCATTACAAGTGTATATGCAATTCGGCCAAATATTAATCTTCCTTTGGACCGACTAATACTCGCATGAATATACACAAACACTAACATTTAATATTTTTCACGAACTACCCAATTCAAGAGATGTTACTTTGGTAACTTCTTGACTCAATTTGCTCACAAAAATATTAAACTACCAAACAAATTGAATATATTAATAAGGGTAACCCTAAACCAAATTTATATAATTATTCATTTATCTATGCAAATGGGTCCCCGATAATCTGTGAATGGACTGTGGTCATTTAGACTCCACAACCGAACCGTACCATCCTAACTACCACTGTAAAGAACCTTATCACAAACAGCTAGCGTGGAAACTACATATTTATGGCCAGTCATTGTGCATATCAAAGTTTCATCCTTTAATGACCAAACTTTAATTGTTCTATCTCCACTTCCAGTGTAAAGAGAACGATTTTTGGAAACAGTCAAGGAGTGGATACCACTAAAGCGCCAATCCTTCTTCTCACTCCATTTCCTCAAGGGATCTTGCCTAAAAGGGGCAGCAATTTCCCAAATAAATATGCCCCCTCCACTGTCGCCACTTATGCACAATGGTTCTTCTGCATCTACATAAACTGAAGCCATGATTTTATTCTCGTGTCCTCTAAATGTGTGTAAATGAGAAAAGTCCTGAAAGGACCATACACGGACAGTTTTATCAAATGAGGAGCTAAACAAATAACCCCCCAACAAACCAGAGACAAATTCCTAGTTGTCAACCCGCAAACATAATCCAAACCAGCAACGATAGACTTAAAAGGAACACCCTTCACCACATCACTATCAAAACCACCACCCCAACACACAACAACCCCATTCCTCTGCCTAATGCCACACGTGAAATCCTTTGTCTGAAATCTGATAGCAACATGCAAGACGTAGGCACTGTAGACTATTTGTAGAATCGGTGATGTGGCGGAGGAGATCATCGGTGCCGAAATTCTTGATGTTGATATGGAGCAAGTGGCCGCAACTATAGTTAATTGCGCGGCGGCACATGATGCCTAACTGGAAGTCCATGTCGCCAGAATTGCTCATGTCGATGGTATGCCACAGGAGAGGGTCCTTCAAAATGGAGCGCCACACAGAGCACACGTGCTGGGCGCGCATGAGGGTTTCGATTGCGCCGAGCTTCTGGAAAATGGTACACAACACGTCTCGCGGAAGATCCATCTAGTTTCGTTCTTCACACTCCGCTACTACCGACTTCAATGACGACGACGACTCCATTGAAGAATTGAGAGAGAATTTACCAATTTTCGTTTTACCCTTTCTTGGCCAAATCCTGAATTTGCCTAACCCCTCACTCAAATCTCCAAAAACAAAATTGGTTACAATGCCAACAAACCCAATAACGTCACAAAAAAAAATATATATATATATATATATATATATATATATATATATATATATTTCATGTCACCGAAACCCTCGTGGAAGATTCAAGGTTCTATTGTTTGGTGGTTGTGAAGCGAAGAGTTAATCAGGATATTTAACCCCAAATTTTAATTTAGGGTTTATGAAAATTTAAGATTAGGGTTCTGAATTCTTAAATTTAATTTACGAAATACAAACATGAATTAAGTATGGGTTACTCTGATACCAATTGTTAGGTTAAACTGATAATTAAATATGATCTTCTTCCTTATGATCAAACATATATATATAATCTCATACTGAAATCATGTTATAAACTAAATGCGAAAGCGTACCTGAATTGGCCATAATGACTATATCCTTTGTAGAGCACTTTTGATTTGATCTTATGGTCTTCCACCTGAAGAGCACCTGTATTTCCTTATGAATTTTCTCTCTGATGGGGATAGAAAGAAAAGAACGGGACTGTAACTACGTTCATCTGCTGTGCTCTCGAAGGGGACCATGACCCTTTATATAACCAAAATTAGGTTAATTACTTAAGTTTTAGTATTTTCAATTTGACCCTCATCAAATTAGAAATTACTCTATGGTCTCTACACAATCATATTTTCATGACATATGCCTTTAGCTAAAACTTTAATTTATTCAGATCACTTTATTATTTGGCTTAATAAATAATGACCCTAACACATTTAAATATGTATCATACATGACCCAAAATTTGCCAACAATTTTTACATAAATAAATGTATAATAAATAGTTTTAAACATTAAATTTATATAATAATTAAAATTTATACAAAACAGATATATAAAATATATAAAGTATATTTTAGATTCATAATAAATAAAATATAATATGATATGACGATACTTAAAAAAAAAAGCAATTTACACATAAAAAACAAAGCAAAGAAAATCAAAATAAATATACATTAACAAAATCAATTATACATATAAAAAATTATAAAAGTTTGAGATGGTTGAGAAATTATACTTTTGACTAGTGGTGATAAAAGTACATGCGATTTTTTTTTCAAACTTTTAAATAAAAGACTATTCTATTTATTTTTTTGTGTGACTATTTTCATCTAATTTTTTTTACATACAATGAAGATTATTACGTATTTTAAAAAATAGGCCTCTATATTTAAATTTATAGCATAAATTTGTAGTCTACCAAATGAAAATTGTAATATAAAAAAATAACGTAAATATATTTTTAGTCTATATTAAAAATAAATAGATTAGTTTTGATCATACTTTTTTAATTGAATTTTATGTCTCTAGATTTAAAATTTTTGCTCTATTTCTTAAAATGAAGAGAAGTTTAGTTTTCGACAACGTATTATATCTTTTCATGATTTATATTTCTCTAAAATTTGGATTATCTTAACGTAATACATAATATTAATATTAAAGATTTATAAATTATTTTAAGCTGATAGATGTTGATGTAAATTCCATCTATGACAAACATTCAATGATAGATAAGTCTTTTTTGCTAAATACATAAACATTAAGTAGTTAATGCCTGTCAGAAGGAACTAAAAATAATTTTGTATTTTTTTGGGGATGAAAAGTATTTTTAGGAATAAAAACTAAAACTTATTAATTTCATAGTAATTATATTTAAAAATAAAATATTTATTTTAGAAGAGTATACAAAATTAATAACTCAATCTATTTTATTGATTATTTAATTAGTGGAGGCCGCACGTGTAGTAAGGTGTACCCGTCCACATACAATACAACGGACATAGAACGTCCCCTCTTCCTTTCTCGTTCTCGATCTCTCTCGACTTCTCCTTTTTTCTTAGTAAACTCCTTGCTTCAGAATTGCGAATAACAGAAACAGCAATCGGAGGAAATCCAAATCCCAACGCAGAATGGAGGACTTGCCGTTGCCTGCGCTCTTCGAGCAAGCCCGCAAGATCCACGCCGCCGCCACCGAGTCTGCCGCCGACCAGGTACTCTACTCTCACGCCCCATTTTTTTTTCGTTTCTGATCTCGGTTCTTTATTCGACATGCTTCGTTTATTGGGTTTCAGGAGGTTGTGAGGAAGGGGTGCGAGGCCCTGCATAGGTGCGAGGACATGGTGACTAATCTAGGTTTGTTTTCTTCTAACGAGACCAAAGACGATATCAGCACCGCCAATCTCAAGTACATTCTGGTTCGTACTTCTTCCCATTATTATCTCCCTAACCTAATTTTAACTGTTGCTTCATTCCCCTGATTCTTCTTCTTCTTTTGTATGTTTTAGTTTAGGTATTTTAGGTTTTAATTTACGCGATTGTTTTATGTATTCGGGAAAAATCAATTGAAGCATGAACCTATGAAGGTTGTATTTGTAAGAGTCAAGCAAGCTGTAGTATTTTGGCTAATTGAATGAATTTTCTGGGACAGGCCCGAATCATGTCGAGTTTTTCAAACTCCTAGAGTCGGAGAAATTAAGTACATTGAGAGTGATTAAAAAATCCATCAAAACATGTGGGCTGAGGTTGATTTACTTTACATGTTTTTAGAGTGAAATACAAGCCACTAAGCTTCCTATATAATAACTTTTCATAATATAACAAACTACGATACTTTTTGTTGTTTTCCCCTATCTTTATGAATGAGGTCTACCTTGTCATATAAAAACTATACCCACTCTATGATAAAATATCGATTAACAGTGCCCAAACAGTGCATAAAGTACTTTCCAATGCAACATTCTTCATTGTGAATCATCCTACTCTACTGATCTAAACACATGTTGGAAGATAATTTATGTGTTTAACTGCAACTGATTCGTAGTGAGCGTCTGTTAACAACATGTCCAAAATGGAGGAAAATGATTAGTGAAGTTTCTTTCATTACCATGATTGGAAGTTGAAACTAACTTCTGTTGTGCCTCTTTTTAATGTTCTTGTTTGAACGGTTTGGAATTTGTGTTACATTCTACTATTATAGATAGATGGGCATGCAAGGTATTCTCTGTCTGTTTAGTAATTTAGGATGCTATTTACTCTCTAATAGAATGTAATTGCTTTTTTTGAACTGCACTTGATATTGAAAATATATTTTTTTCTTGTAAAAGCACTCACGTGCCCTGCTCAACTGCTATTCAGCTTCTAGAAAGATTTAGTGGTGGATTTTCTAGTGGAAAAAGTTTCATCATGGGAATGGTTGTCTACACTGTTTCATACTGAGTACTGGCAAATTGGTTAGTATTTAGAAAGAAATCCAATCATGACTATGCATTTCTTCAACTGATTAGTTGAGCCAAGTATAAGAATATGTACAAATGTGCTAAGGCTAGACACATGCACTGCGCATGGGATATTTACTTAATCTGTTTTGACTTCTAACTAGTGCAGATTGTTAAACATAATTGAGCAGTTAATATTGATAGCCTTTTACTATTTTTTTAATTTCATACCATAATTCTCAGGTGCCATTTTATCTTGCGGAGTTGATGGAAAAAATAGTTCAGGATGACAGGTTACAGATTCTAAAGGCTTCCCAGGCAAAATTAAAGGTGAAAGACAATTTATAGAAAGGAAGCGCCAGCCCCTTTTACCAGTGGCCAATTCAACATAATATTTACCAGTCCTTGTTATATTTTGAATATTCATTTTAATCAAAGCTTAGCGATGACATCCTTTTTGTAGGAATTTATCTCATTTTGTGAAGCAATGGAGCTGGTCCCAGAAGAGGAGTTAGAATTTTATATTGAAGGGGCACCAAAAACTGTTGTGGATCAGAGGGCTAGGAAGGTGTTAATTTTGTCTGCATTTATTTTTTCTGTAAGTTTTATAAAATGATTTTATATTTATTTCAGGCACTATAAGTTTGTATCCTCTTGTGCAGATTGCTAGGTTCAAGCGTCAGAGAGCTGCAGAATCAAAGTTATTGGAAATAAAAGAGCGAAAAGAACGGCGTGGACGATCTACTAAAGCAGCTGCCCTGTCCACCCCTGTTGAGGCAGGAGAGGAAGAAGTATTGGATGATGATGGTGAAGAAGAAAGAGAGGTTTGTGTCTGATATGCTATTTATTTTAGTTACACATGTTCTGTTACTACTGCTTTATTGCAGAAAAATGTTTCGTGATTCATTTGCTTCCCACTGGGAAGGCTTAAATTCTACTTACTTCTTCTGAAAACATATGTATGTAGCACTCTTATAAGTTGGCTTTTTGGACCTGTATTGGTCTTATATGTCCTTGACTCTGGCTTATGACTTATGAAATGGTTTTTGGCTGTTTCAAATGGCTGAAAGAATTTGTGTTTGTGATTACAATATTGTGATTGCTGTGAAGTATGAACTATATCTGCTCATTGCACCATTGTTTTTTTTTTTTTTTTTTCAGGCTTGGACCACCACTATATCTTTGGCAATCTGTAAGGTTGGTTTGTCCTTATGTGACAGTTACTGGTTGAAACTTCTATTTCCATTGTTCTCATGATTATCTTGTGCCATATCAATCCAGGCACTAGATTTGCTCGATATGTTGAAGAAAGAGGAAGAGATGCTTTCTGCTGTGAAGGATAGACAATCCAAGGTAGTAAAATGCTTGGTAGTGTGTCACATACTTCTGAAGCACTGTTGTGTTTACCTAGTCAGCAGTGGGCCTGTTGCTACTATTTTACATTGATCTAATTACACTGGAAATATTTATTCTTTTATGAAATGTTGTATAGTTAGTTAAAACTTAAAGAAATGTTATCAAGTAGCTGAAATTGATATTTTATTAACTTCATTAAGACATCATAGCATGTTTCTCAAGCTAATTCTAGAATTCAGGCCAAAATGTGGCATCTACAATTAAATATATTTTAAATTAGATCAGGAAATTGTACATTTTTGCTGACTTAGATTTGATTTTATTTACTATTTGTGATTTTGCCATGTTTTAGGATGGGGATGAGTTCTCTAGGGATGTTCTTGATGAACGTGCCAAGAAAGCAGAAGCTTGGCATCGTGATGCTGCAGTTCGTGCACAGTACACTAAGCCATCGCCACCAATCACATGTGCCACTTTTGCCCAAGATGTTCTAGAAGGAAGAGCGAAGGCTTCACAAGCACACGATCACAAGCACCAACCACTAATATTTGGACCAGCCAGCCTTGTGAATGGAAGCTTAACAACAGAGAGAGAAAGAATGGCGGCTCAGGTCTTCCAACCTAGTCATAGGTGTGCATTTTCCCTTTTGCAATATAATGCATGCAATTCAGCCTGGCTAGTGAAAGGTTTTGGAACGGGGAAATACAAGTGTGTTTTAATGACACAGATCACATCCCAAAAAAAGATGAAATCATTTTTATTTCCTTGTAGTTTTCAGTGTTCTATTGCCCTTGGTTGAGAGAACTAAGTGGGTAGAGTTTTAAAAATTTTATAGGAACATGGTTAAAGCTAGTGATACCTACACTGTGGTTATATTATTTTAGATGCTAAGCTGAATATCTTTTTTTAAAGGATGCCAACTATGAGCATTGAGGAAGCTGGACTAAGAGAAATGGAAATTATGAATAAATGGCAAGAGAGAAATGTTAGACTCATGGAAGAAGCCAATTCATCTTGGCACAATGACAGGAAGTCAAAGCCCGGAGCAGAAGATGATGATGAAGACGACGATGCTGCACAAGATAAAGCAAGGGCTTGGGATGACTGGAAGGATGATAATCCACGAGGTGCAGGAAACAAGAAACTTACCCCTTGTGGGTAGGTAAACTGAGTTCTTCCCTGTCTTGAGAGTAAACAGATTTGGGATAAATGTTTTTAAACAAAATCTCGTAATTTATAGTTGATATACTGGTAATTAGACCAAATTAAGAGTTTATTTGTACCATGACTTCCTTTTATTACATGTGCATATTCTAGGAGTACAAGTAGAGTCTTATTCAATCCTGCCCACTTTTGTTTTCGATTTGCATGCTCTTACTTGCCCACTCTTGTTATTATATCAATCAAACAATATTATTTTTCTCAGAGAATTCTGAATAAAATTTTCATTGTACTAAATTTCTCGAAAGACAATCCCCAGAACAGATCCTTTGCTGTACACAGCAAGAATTTCTCTCCAGCAGAAATGTTAACCATTGATCACATAGAATATATATATATATATATATATATATATATATTTTTTTTTTTTTTGTGTGTGAAGAAGTTTATTTTTTTTTTTTTTTTTAAAGTCTCACATGGTCTGACTTCGTGTTATTTGGTATGGTTTAAATACATGTTAGATTATTTTACTTCCATGTATTGTCAACTAGTTTTATGTTGAAATTTTAACATGGTATCAGAGCCAAAACAAAAACTTAATATATTTCTGGTTATTATCTTGGGTCAAGAGTTGTTCTTTTAAAAGTACTTTATGCTTGGTCCGGTAGGTTTTGTTAGAGAGGGTAGGTTTTGAAAGTCTTATATCACCTATCTCATCTCTTTTGGTATGGATTAAATATATATTAAATTATTTTACATATTATCAATTGATATTAAGATAGAATCTTCTCACTTTTCTGTGGTATGGATTAAATATATATTAAATTATTTTACTCTAACCATTTCGGAAGGGGGTATGATAGTAGGAATTATGAGTGGAAAGTGAGTAAGAGAAATCTTTAAACCATGAATAGCCAAACACCACCACCAGAGTCCGGTCCCGTTAGTCCCGTTGGTCCCGTTCTTTTAAATTCAACTCTTTCTCTTCCCGAAAATATTTCAAAAACTCTTTCCTCTAAAATAGAACATTTTATAGAATATTCCTATATTCCAGAAGATGCTCAGATCTCTGAGACATACAGTCCTCTCCTTAGTCCTTATAATATTTTCAAAAGACAACGATCTACTCTTAAATCCATTACCCGTTTGATTCATACCGAAGACCTCCCGTTAAGGAGTACGTTCAAGCCTCCGAATGGATCAGTGCACCTTAGCATCCACTCGCCGAAGAGCAATATGTAAGTATTGAGATTCCTAAAGAAGCTATTAGGCACCGGCAACCGAAGGATACACCCATCTCCACTATGGAGCAGTTCGACTTGTTCTCTCTCTACACGAAGACGGGGATTACCTGTCTCAGCCAGCAGTTTCTCTTTTAGACTCTAGCTACCTTCACTATGAACATGTCTGTCATTGGCACCGTTCTAACTACTCTTCATGCCGGAAGTGTAGTTCTCACCATCTACCCTAACTTCAACGTTAGTTTAAGAGATCCTACAATCTCCCAGAGATTGAAGGTACAAATCCAGATCACTGGAGCTGAACAAGTAGCTGAAGCCTTATCGGCCACCCTTCATCATCAGATCATATATAGGTTGCAAGATCATGCTATTAATCTTGCCCTACCATCTTGCAAAGATGGAGCACTTTTCGTCTTGGCCAATAACCAAGATGAAACACCTTCTATAGTCCAAATCCCCGTAAATATTTCCGCACAAGAGCTTCAAAAGCTCATTCCTATGCAATGGGTCACCAATTATGAGAAGCTCCATGCTAACCGAAACCCATCCAGCTTACGTAAGCCACTTTCGAAGATCTCGTGGATGGAACCGTCGAACCATCTTCAAGAATTCGAAGAAACTCCTAGTTCCAAGCACCTCCATTTTCCAGTCAATGATGATAATACCCGTAGTCAAAGAAGGAAAAATCCCAATCAACAAGTAGTACGTCCCGATGGTAAACCTATCTTTACCGACAAGATAGGGGGACATTTCATTTGGGATATTGACCCGTAAATGTGCGATTCTGATCGTGGACTCGCTGTGACCACTATGGAGACACTAGCGATGAAGACGACGACTCGAGATGATGATGATGATGATGACTTCAAAGGAGGATCCCGCAAACCTCCATTCTCTCCTTCCAGGAAATTTGAACCTGGAAAAGGCCCATGGATAGGAATCCATCGCCAACCCGAACCAGATCCCCTATGGAAATACAAGCGATATGTCGAAATCCTTGAAGAAGAGGGTCTCCTCTTCCCTAAACAAGAAAAGTGTAGAACCTCTCGCCATACTACCTCGGCTTACTTCTAAAGCTCTTCCCGTTCCATGTATGATGATAAAACCCTCAGCCTATAAGGAAGAATTTCCTCCATTAGAGAGGAACACCGACCCAGTTTCCAAAACAATGACTAAACCTCATGTAGTTTGTCAAGAAATTGGGCCGGATGGGAAGATTAAACCATTAAGTCGAGCGAAGAAGTCCCGAACCGGCGTACGTAAAATGCTCGAGCTCGTAACTCAATCTTACAGAAGATTGACAAAAAGATTGATAAGATCTCCACGCATCTAGAGGAGACCGATGATAAGCTCCAAGCATCTTAACTCTACTTTGAGAAAACACTATAAACAACTCTCCGCGTAAATCTCAAAGTTAGAAGAAGATTGGAAGACCACTGTTTTCGGAGAATTATCTCATGCAAAAGAAAGAGAAATAAGGAGACTCAAAGCTCAAATCCAAGAAATGGATAATTACATTGAAGAAAAGATTAGGCAACAAAATCCAGAGAAACAACCATATACATCCTTGTTCTCTACAACTCCAGCCTATTCTTCTTTTCAAAATCCTCCTCATTACCGACCAAACTCACAAACCACGTGGACATTACCCACAGCTACAGCCTTATAGGGCTAGGTTCAAACCAAGTAGCCTCTAAACCAGATAAAGGAAAGAAGGTGGCTCAACCTTCTTCGAATCATCTTTTGATGATCAACCCTCACCAAAAAGGCCTACTCAAGCAAGAACCATTTGACCCAATCTTTCAAGATTCCCAAGATCCATACTCTCGCTTAACCATAGAACCCTTTCCAACCCCCGCAACTCCGCATACTCCAATAATGCTTGAGGAATCCTCTGAGAACTCAGAAACCGAGATTCATGTTTCTGATGAATCGGAAACTGAAGTCCTTACTTCTGAATCGGAAACAGAAGTCCCTAGTTATGAGGATCTTACACAGATACTCATGACCAATACCTCCAGATCAGAAGTCCGACATGAGCCAATTTACGACCCTCCAGACGAAGAAGCTGACTCAGGTCCCTCAAGGACAAATATGTCATCAAAGACAAATGGTGGACCCTGGTTCACTATTGATGATATTCCTCCCAGCCAATGGAGAGCCGATTAATCGAATTTGGTGCATGGTTAGATACCAAATTAGTCAACAATTCGACTCTTATAAAGTAATTGAGGAATTCTGCCGTAGAATGACCGGAACACTTAAAGGATGGTATCATAACTTGGGAGTAGTCCGACAGTAACCAGCTCCATGAACTGGGCCAAACAGACAGCGAGTACTTGGTGCTTTACATGAAGAATTCATAGGTGACGGATCAATCATCGATAAAAAACTCAGACAAGAGTTTTTCGAAATGAGATGTTGCTCAATAAAAATCAAAGACTTGGAAAAACACTATCAACGAATGAGCAAAAGATTCTATCATCTCAATGGGCTCAATGATCCTAGTTTAAAGAACACCTATGTCGCATCTCTTCCTGCTGAGATCCAACCAGAATTGAACAGGATGGCCATGTCCATTCAGAAAGACTTCACCACTCTGACTATGGGACAAATTCACCGGATGACCTTAGAAGCCGTTGATAAGCTATGCAGACAACATGAGTTCTTCTCGGACATCATGACTCGAAAAGCAAATTTAGCAAAGCTTGTCGAAACCTTATTTGGAGATTAAATGCAAGAAGCCTTGTTCGGGAACCCGCAAGGTGAAGAAAAAGAAAGAAAAACCCATTTTCGTAAAAAAGAAAAAGAATTTAAAATTCTTTAAGAAGAAGAAGTTTAGGGGAAAAGCACAAGATCAACGGTGCTTCATTTGCAAGAAAAAGGGACACTTTTCCAAAAACTCGTCCCCACAGAGCCGACGTGAGCCATCAAGCTCATCTCCACCCTCCAACTTGATGAAAAAGACGATATAGAATCTCCGTATTCCGAACGAGTTCCGCCGACGAAGAAACTGTCTTCGCCCTCAACATCTCCTCCGATGAATCGAATCGAATATTCCGAGGAATTCGAGACCGATACTCGTTCCAAGTATTCTCTTTCCAGGAAACTCACCTCATCAATGTCTCTCCTCCTCAACCTTGTTTAGAAGTTCAAATTCTTCCGTCTAAATATGACAAATCTATCCAAGCCATAGCCTACATTGATACTCGGAGCACGTAAATCCATGATGGATCCCGATATTCTTCCCAAAGAATTTTGGAAGAAAGAAGCCTCCTATTTTGTAGCAATCGACGGAAAAGTCTTCAAGACCGAGTTAATAACTAGAGCTCCAATCGAATTAAATTCTTTCCGAATGCACTCGTTTGGAGTAAAGTTATAGGAAGTAAGCTTCCCAACAAAGACATTTTGATAGGCATGGACATCTTCTCCATGACTAGTAGATTTCAAATACTTCCTAAAGGAATCAAGTTCAAAAGAGAATTCAAGCTTTTTACAGAGATACCAAGACTCTTTTCTCTCTCTGAAGCTCCTCCGAACTTGAAGAGATAAAACAAAAGTTATCCTCTCCGTGTGCCAACAATCATGAAGAATTTTCTCATCCTAAGCCTTTATGGAAGAATTCTGATTTCTTTGTACAATTACCCTTCAAGCTCAACGAAGATGTTAATCCAACCAAAGCTACTCACCCAGGAATGTCTCCCTCGGACCTACAGCTAGCAAGACAAGAATGTCAAGAACTGTTGAAACAAGGCTCGAT